CCTTCTAAACAATTATAATACAGTACCTACGACTTACATGAATTCTAAAATTAAATAATTGTATTCGTTACAAGTCACTACGTATTTGTAAATATTGTTGAATATTTCATCTTAAGGAACATCGTTAACACTTGTTCGACAAAACGTAGGAAATAGGTAACTAATATTATACAAATATAAGTAATTTATTTAAATTATTTTATACGTAGCATTTCGGTAATCGAATACTTAAAATTTGATTAATTTAATTAAACTAAATTAACTAAATATGAATATCTGTTTTCTTGATCAGTAATTTACTAGATATACCTATATACAATTAAATTAAGCAAATTATGTTTTTTAGTTACAATACTTTTGTAATTACATTTTCATAAACAAATGTAAAATAAATGGCTAATGGATAGGTAGGTACAAGGTACATATCATTAACTTAACAATAATCGAAAGTATTTAATGTGGAAATTGTTTTGAATCCAAACAAATATGTATTCTAAATAAGCTTATAGACAATAATATTCTTTTTATTCTTTTTAATGTACCTATAGAGTGATAATATTTCCTTTTATACGCATCAAGTATAATTAAGACGGAAATATCATCAACAATAAGACATTGTCTACGTGAATATTCTTACCAAATTAAACGAGATCGATCAGTTTGATTAAAACGCTATTTTTCTCTGATTAATATACAATATTTAAATTAAACTTTATTGTGAAGTACTTTTGTTTACTGAGTTTAATAATAAAATAGCATTTTCTCAAAAAACACATTATTATTTATTAAGCTAATTATAGCCAATATATAAATATATTATAATCAATACAATCAGTGATAGGTAATTCATTTTTTTTGTTTAATGGAATATAAACAAAAACCTTATTTTTTTATGTTATACAAACATATCATGTAATTGATTAATCGGTGACAATACTTGTATAGATTTATTCACCAGCTAGATAATATATTATTACAGATCACTAAAACTATGGTTTATGAACATATTTCGACCGTCAATTTATACAGAAAAAGGTCATATTTAAAAGTGTTTATATGCACATATGTAATAATTTATTGTGCGGAAAGGTCTAAATTGATGGAATCGAAGTTTGTTGCTTTGTCGGGCACTTAAAATAATTAAGCGGACAAGGGTTTACCTCCAATACCACAATAACGTATACTACCAGAAAGTTAGTTCCAGCCTCAATTCAATTTTCGATGTAATATAATTTTGGACTTCCAATTAATATAGTTGACAGTATGTCAGTGTGTACCTACATTATTATAATATTATTAAAATACTGACACACGTTTCAAAAGAGAAAATAATTCGTTTCATCTCACATCGTAATGTCACCACTCATCAATATATCTATGATGCATTAATTAAATTATTAGTTATTATATACATCTGATGGTGGTAAAATTCAATTTTTACAATTTTTGCGAACATGCATGGTCCAAATTGCAAGTACCCCGTAATTCATTATGATATTCTCATAATATATGTAAATGAGTACATAATATCATATAATTTATAGGTATAATATATAGTCTACACTCTACACTGCGTAGTGCATACATATTATGTAGTATATAATTTTCTCAGTTTCGGCCAACTATATCTAACATTGCTCTGATGATGACGGTGTCAACTCATTAATATGATAATGTAATTTTAATATAGTAGGTACATGATCCTTTAAAACCCATACACATACACAAGTAGATAAACTAACCTAGTTTATAGAATATATTATCTTTCGTGTCCCAAAAACATTGATTGTCGCGTCTACTTTTCAGCACGATCTCCGTGTCGTGTACTCTTGTACTCGTGGCGACTTAACATTATGATTTTAAAATAATATAATACACCCCATGCCATGATGAATAATTATTATATCAGACATTTTCTGGACAATTCTTAATAAATTGTTCGTATATAATAAAATTGTAATGCGAATAAAATGATTGTATTTTATTCTTATCGATTCAAAACGAAATACATAAATCTTACATATAACATATCAGAATCGAATACGATTTAAAATTAAACATCATAGTTATCTAGTATCTACAACATGACAATAGGTACTTATATCAGAATTTAAAAAATAGAATTCACTACCAATGAATTACCCTGTTTTTTTTTTCATTAATCAAACTCTTTGTAAATATAATTATAAAATGCTCCGTAATTTAAAATTATTTTAATTTTAATTTATTTTTTACTGCAATGAAAAGGTTAACGAGACTATAATAAATAACATTTTTATTATTAGAAAAAAATAGCTCTTCTGAAAACGCACTTTGTTTTGTGCTTGTTGTAGGTACTTCAAACAAATTTTTAATATTATGCAAACTATTTTTTAAGGATTTTGTTATTTTGTTTTATTGGTTTTCAATACAATTTTAACAAGTTACAGCTAGTTATGTTTTTTATAGATACACTTTGTTTTAGTTATAAAGCATTCGGTATACAAAAATCCTGATATAAATGACAAAATAAATATCATATAATATATAGATTATCGTGAATATTAATTGAAATTATTCAATATTTTATGTATTATAAATTGTTGGTACTTACGTAACATTATTTTACGAGAACAATAATTAGGTACCTATTTAATAATATTTATACTTCTGATAAAATATTTTACGATAAATTGTTTGACTAATATATTGATAAATTAAAACATTTTGTACCTGCAACCAAAATCGGATCAAATTCCTATTAATAATAATGGTTAATAAGTTATTAATTCATTCGAGTTATAATAAGTATTTTTATATTGGCTACATAGACTATAGTACAAAGATTAAATACAATTTAAATAATACTAAAACGAACAATTTTGTCATACACGAAAAATCGTTCACGTATCTCGATGTATAAATTATATAGAATACAATTTTGTAATGCATTTTTACTGTCATTAAATTACTCTGTAGTTCGATTAAAATTCAGGGAATTTAGTAATTACTTCGCATTTTAACTTTTAAAGATAGATGTTTTAAAAAACCAATAGCATTTCAAGGAATATTATAGAATATTATTCGTAAGACTTTATTTGAAAATAATAATAAAAATGTTTTGCGCTTAATATTCATCCGAATTCAATAAAATAACGTAACTATAATATTAATAACTACTATCTATTCCATTTATTATAATCATTGAAAGTTAATTTCCATATAAATAAAACATTTATACTTACATATTGATATACAAACATACTGGTAGCTTAAAAAAATGTCCACGGGTAAAATAACAATGGAGAATTAAAAAATGAATATTAATTTAAAAAAAAAGTATATTATATTTTGAGTTTGAGTATGAAAATATTAAAAGAAATATTGAACGTTTTTATAAATCTTTGTTATTGACCTTCATAATTAATGTTATGTGTTAATTATATGATTTTTTTTTAAATTTGCCAGAAATTTTATTTTTTATGTAATACTAAAGTCATAAAGACAATTTGGAACACGGTGTTCGATCTTGAAAAATGTAACTCCAAAATTGTTTACTAGATCCAACATACTAATAAAGTTATAACTATTTAAATATTTCACAACAACATAAAAATATAAAACCGTAACGTATATTTAAGTCAATTGATTTTAATTATAACTAACTGCAATATGTAAGCAGTAAAATAACTGTAAGCTGGCATCAACTGTATAACTATAAGGAGATGGAATAAGGTAATTATTTTACACATTCAATGTCACCATTACACCCAAGTTCACATTTTTGAGACAGCATCCTTATGCATGAAAAATAAAATGTATCAGAGACGAGTAGTAGCAATTTATGTTGTTTTAGAATTTAGATCCGAAATACAAGTGACAGGAACCTGGCCTAATCATCCATTTATTCTTTAAATTTAGAGATATAAGACAGTTTTTTTAATTTTTTCGAATGATCCAAGAAAAAAACGATAGTCCCGTGTACTGTATAGTACCGCCATCGACGATGGAAGTACCACTACAGCTTAGTACCTACCCGTTAAGATAACGCGAGTAAACAATATTGACAATATCGACATGTGCGCTCCAAAAATTTTGTATATCTAACCCTCTTCCAAACGCACCGCCATCGCCATTACGTATACTAAACTGTAATAGGCGTAATGATGATAATATGATATTATCATGTTTGGACGGAGTGTGCGCATTTCGCGTTCAACGCATCACACCGAAACACAATCCGTCAATTACGAGCTCGTAAAAAATAAAAAATAAAATAATAACATCAACAACAATAATAACAATAAAACGGGAGATGAAAAAAAAAAATTCATATAATATTATAGGGGCATGGTGTTTTACACGCATACATACATATATATATATATAATATACAGCAATATGCAACACGTACGTACGAAGTAATAATAATAATAATAATAATATAATAGCCGTCTGGCCGGCGCGGCGGCGGCGTTCGTCTCGTACGGTCGTGGGCGGTCGGACGAGGTGGTGGCGTTCGGTAGTGGCGACGGCGGCGGCGTGCTTACAGCTGCTGCTGCTGCGGGCCGATGAAACCAGTTTTTCGAGTGGGAGAAACGGATCCGGCGGCGGCCGTACGCAAATACGACAAAACGACCGGTGCCTGCGCGTGTGTAACAAAAACCGTGTGTAAAATCGTCTACCCGATCGCCGCTGCGTCAGTGCGCGTCCGTCGGTCGTGTACGGTTCGTGAGTCTCACGCCGTCCGTCTGTTTGATCCACCGGTGGTGTTGTGCGATCGCCCGAATTCGTCGCGACGTTGTTCGCGTATCGGGGTGTGCGTTTTTCATCATATCGAAATTGTTTCGCCGTCGTAGATAATTTTTTTTCCATCGTCATTTGTTGATAATATTCCCGTCCGACAATCCGCCGCTCACCCTCATCGATATCCGGCGTCCGTCGCCTCGTGCAACACAAAGGTGCCGTTTCGTATTCGCGCGGTGCGGCTGTCCGTTTATCTATGTACGGCTAAGGCGCAAATGGCCGCCGAGTGGCCGACCTTAGCCGTCGTTTTTGTGCTCGCGTGCCTCCTGTTGCCGACCGGCGGCGGCGGCGTCCGACCGCGGGACGACGACGGTCAGCAGCAGCCCTCGTGGTGCCAGAAAGAAGAATGCAAGTGCGAGCAGGACGACGAAAACCGATTGACCGTCAAATGCACGTTTTCCGGCGAAAAGGTTAGCTTTTTAGTCAAATCCCACCGGTATATTAGCTGTACCTAGCTGTGTAGAAAGACAATAACGGCGGCGGATAAGCCGAGGCCCGATATATATATATATATCATATTAGTCACTTATTTGTGATTAGGCATTTTGTTAGGCTTCCAAAACGGTAGATGGATTGGTAGGTATATTCATTATGTTTTCCGGAGGAAAGGACATATTATGGATCAAGAAGGTGGTTGAAATTTCGTCGGAGGTACGTAAATGTTCGACAATGTAGACACGGATGGCGACGTGAAAGCATTTCGTGTATCGTAAATACAGCAATGGCTATAGTAATCAGCGATACAGAAAACATCGTGGATCCGTTTAAACTACAACTATATTGTAAACAATGATATGGAAGGCGGTCCCCTCGGCCAAACACACCCCCTGTTGCTGTCATACCGCATACGGAAGACCGTGGATTTATAGAATCTCACTATGGAATTTTGCGGATGGATACATTTTGAATGTCGCCGAAATCCAGTGAGGTAGACTTGCGCAGTCCGACCGTAGTATGAGCACAGCCGAAGTGACCGCTGACCATTTTGTTCACGGTACTTACCTGAGTGCCGGTAACAGCGATATTTTCTATCAGCCAGTCTTATATGAAACGTTTGTGGTTTGTCGCTCCCGATTCTCCATCGCACCGTTTTCGCTTTTTTTCTTTTCGTTTTCAGCATAGCTGCTATACATGTATTATATCTACTTAGTGTTGTGTAGTGCAACAAAATCTCGATCTATAACAGAACCTATTAGAATCGCCGTTAGTGTGTGATTTATTGTATGGTGCAGGCGAAACGAATCTTGAATGTTCGGCAGGACTGATATTGTAGGACGATTCTTCGCTGGGCGATACGTTAAGATAGGCAGCACAAAAATGAATCCATATTATTCCCAAATCCATTTATCATTGTCGGAATAAATATTTCCGTATGATTATTTAGAATATTATTTAGAAATTAAAATGTATTCTATTTATTACGTCATAATATAATAGATAAGTATATGTTTGAATAATTAGAGGAGAACTTTAGTAAAACAATCACGTAAGTGAAGAATTTTAGTACAGCAGCACAAAAAATTAAAATATGTAAATATTAAGAACCGTGATTTTAAAACATGGGTAATAATTTGGATATTATTATCTGCGGGCAGGTATGACTGACTTCAAATTGACGATGGCATCGCTGGACTAAGCGACCAAATCCACTATATGACAAAGAGATTCCCAATATTGTGACTTACTCTATCCATCTAAATCTTTATATAATTTGACCAGGTTACATCTTTTTAAATTACTAAACTTATCGTTATCACATTCTTATGTCTCGTTACATAGCACTGTTGATTCACTTCACTTGTACGTATTTTGAGCCTAGCCTGTTATGTTCATAAAATAAACAATACATGTATAGGTGGATCCGGGCATACGTCTCTGAAAGACGTTATCATTTTGACGAATATAAAGCAAAATAATTGGTCTAGGTTATTTATTTTTTATATACTCTCGATTACTAGTGGGTGGTGGTTTCCGGTAGGTTAACTATATGGTAGGCATTCAGGATGCTGGACTAGCTATCGCGATTTCTTCTTTCTCTGTTAACTAACAAAGGATATAATAGATTATATATTATATTATTATTTGAGGGCAAGTGTGATACGTGATATGCATAATATTATTATTATCTCGACGGTCAACGTAACCACTAAATCGCGGTTTCCATAACCCCCTTGAACATCCTGTCAAAGCCACAAACGATCGCGCTCGTCACTCCTAAAGTCATACCTAAGCGTATTGGACAATACAGACATCTGTTGGACGGGTATTGAGGGTGGATGGGTGGGTGGGTATATACTATATAGTATACATCGAATAAACGCACGTATCTCGTATTACTCGTGATATACAGTAAATTATACGAGATTATGTGGAGCGTGATTTGCATCGATCGCGCCAAGAAATATTGTTCACCGGTTACAGATCGCCGGTATATATAAACCAAATTTGAATACCTACCGAATTGTATCGCAATAATAGTGATCTAATACTGCAGTTGTCTGTTTACTTGTCTTCATTATACTATTACTGTATATGCAGTACGACTGTGTGTTATACTATTATTATCACAGTGCGTGGTGATTAATTCGACACCGGTTTAGACTCGGGCCGCAGAGGTCATTCATGCAAGTGTGTATGCATGTGTTCGCGTGTAGATTTATATTGTTGTTACAACGTCCGAGCGGCACCGATCGCGGTGTATCCCGGTCTCCCCGCAAGTGGGTAACCACTACGAAATTATATACATACACATTACATACGACCGTTGTGTTCTTGATAAGCGCTAATTGATTTGATCTGTCTGACCAGATTCTCGTACGTATAGCAGCTACTATTCAGGCGAATGAATTGTTTGGTCGTTGATAAATCACTATATCGTCAAATTCGTAATTTGGATATTATGCCTCGTCAACATACCGACAGCATCATGTACATTGTGCGCGTACTTCAAATTTCTCTTATGACTTATGCGCGGAGAACCAGCATATTATATCTGTATATTTTACCGCTAAAAAATTAAGCCGGAAATCCAATACTAATAAATTAACACGACTAAATAATCAATCTGGTATTATACAATCTCCAATATTTTGGGTCATTAATTGGAAGATAAAAACAAATCTTTCTGAAATTAAGATAGTAGTATAAACTGAACAGTAATAATTCAGTATTAATCGCTACAAGGTATATAAATGTGGTTAATATTGTTAATATATTACTGAAAACAATGAGCATATTCGATATTTATATTTATAAATGTATTTTTTGTTTATATATACAGAGTAACAAGGTGTAACCCACGCGGGACGAAGTTGAATCATACGCCTTGAGTTGATTTCAATAATTCAAATATCTTTGTAATTTAGATTTGAATTTTTTGAACTTCCAGTACCTATAGTAGATTGTATGTTTTAATATTTATTTTTCGTATTTAATGGTAGTATCAAAAAAAAAAAGATGCAATTAAAATGTATGGAGGATCACATTATGCTGGAACTAAAGAAATCCATAGATTTTAAAAACGAGTATGATTACAAACTCGATCATATAATTGCAAGCATCACGGTAATCATTGGTGGCATTGAATATTAAATATGTGTGCTGTCAATTCGTATTATAATAGTTCTCATTAAAAATCAAATTAATTTTAGAGGTAGATACTATGTATTACTATTCTTTTTCTATGAAATGTTTATGGTGCAGTCGTAACTAACATTAATTGTTGCATTAAAATAAATATTTCACAGATCATAATATCTTCTTTATCGGTATATGTGTTAATTGTTAAACATAAAAATATAATGTTTCATGTCATCATTTACATCAGCTGTAGTTAACCATGAACTTCATTTTGAAAGCTGCAATGGCAATTCGTCAATATATACATGTATAATATATTTTAATACCATATTGCAAACGTACAAGGTCTGACTTGTTGACTTGACATTGAAACTATAATTGTTAAACGCGGAGCTTGTTAAAGTTGTTGTTTGTTCAAATGTTACTTAAAAGTAGGGACTTTTTTATTCATTTTTTTGTCTTTTAACGAATACATAAAATGTGTATAATACCTTATGTCGTACCTGTCTAGTTAAATCCGATTCATAAACCGACTCTGTAAATTTAAGACTCATATAGTAATTTCTGTACAATATAAATGTATATAATATATAACATTATATAATAGAATTGAGTTTTTGTATAAATAGTATATGTAGATAGGCATCGTTTATTATAAATTATAATATATTTTATCAATCGTGTTCGTAGTACTTACCTATTATTTTATTATTCCAACATATTGTTGTGATATAATGAATCGAATAATTTAGCATAAAAAAACCTCACTGTTTACCACTGTAAAATCAGTAGAAACGTTTGACCGAATTCGATGGAATAATAATTCGATTGTATAGCGAATATTGCCTGGTACGGCCCGGACTAAACCGCTATCCAAACACTGATATTTTCTTACTGTTGATATTATGAACATATGGAACCCTCGAAATTGCGTTTTGGGGGAAAAACAATGATAAAACAACATTATCTTCCCAGTCGAACGATGGGAGTATCATGCATGTAGCCGAATGGAAGAGCATAATATTATTATTTCACTTTACAGAAAAACGGTAAATTTATATTATGATACGATATTATGTTATAGATTTTTAAATATTATTCATCAAGATGTTGTTTAAAAAAAGTAGTAATTATCTTAAGAGTAAACGAAGTCATTATCTCGAAGAGTATTAATGTTTTTGAATGGTATTTGTTTTATTTAATTTCATTACAAAATAACATTTTCCAAAAAACGTTAATTCTTTTCAAGACAATGAGTGCTTGGTGCTTGCTATTAAAATAATCACCCTGAATGAAATACACGCGATGCAGTGTACAATTCACGATAAAATTATTTAGTACATGTGATTAATACACGAAGACGACCAAATTTAAAGATAATAATAAACTACATTGAGACGAACGACGTAGACGGTGTAGCAGCAGAAGCCGTTTACTGACGAAATCGTTTAAAAGACATTACCTATATCTAAAGTAAATAATATGTTTAATAAAATACCAAAACTCGTTAGATAAGAGCCGGACGTTGCACCTGATACACTGACCGTGTACGATATACAGAGTGCCTGTTGTGCGGCAAAAACGTTGAGAATTTGTTGATGTCATGTGAGTGGAATCGAAACCTATTCTGCGTTTTGTGAATGTAGGTTTTTTAAGGGTACTATTTAAGGGTACTTATTATCTTTCTATCTCATTCAATTTTAAACTCATTACTTTTTAGATTTTAGATTTGTCGACTCCAAAATCTCTATTTCCGTGATTTTTTATGTCGTCTGTTACGCTTGGCATGATAACACACGTTACTCTGATGCCCGGAGATCTTAAACTTGAT